CTAGAGGACTTAGCCAGGCTTCTTTGCCAGAATGGCTCAGAAAGAGCCTCAGTGTCTTCATCAGCAAAATGGGGACAACTGGAGAAGTAAAGATAACAGATGAAGAGCAGGTAGGTGGTCCTGTTTTTGGCCCATGGCAGGAAGGAGCTCATTGTATGGTAGCTGTTCCCACATTTCCTGGACACTGTTAAAGATGCATAATTATTCTCAGTATAACATCTCTTTGGTTGATTTACCTCATTTGTGTAGTATAGTTTAATTGATCGTGTTTTGGTTCATTGTGATACAACAAATGCTGGAGCATCTTCTACTCTCTGAGTCTTTGAAGAGCTAAAATAAGGCATTGTTGGGAAATATGATGGAGGGTAAGGAGGAAACAAGATGCTGGGATTGCTGGGTCAGGGAGTAGGGATAAGGGAACCTGCCTTATCCAGAACGATCCCACCCAGTCTCTCTTCACATAGGGCAGAGGGGACAGGCACAGAGAAGTCACTGCCATGGTAACATGAGACATTCTTAAGAGTAGAGGTGTGTGTGGAAGGGGAATGTATCGGCCACAGAGCTGCTCAGTGCTGGCTGGACCAAGGCCGCCAGCCCCAAATCTTTCTTCACTGCCACCACACTAAATAGTTGATTTTTTTTTTTTAATTTTTAAAAATCAGACCTGAAATCCTCTGGACCATAGTTCCACAGGTCAACAATGAGCTGTCCCCTTTGGATCCCGGGTGCAACACAGCCCACCTCCGCCTGTCAGATACTTCAAAGTTTGCAAATATTATCTCATTGAGACCACTAGAAGTATCCTTCACTCTCACCATTCTACGTACCTGCATTCTACGTACTGAGTCTTGGGACCTGGATGTTAAAGTAGGAGACCCAGGGGGAAGAAGTGCAGGGAGTACACTTTATACACTGAAATTTGAGTTTTTGAGCAGGAGAAAGAAACAGTAGGCAAGCTGCTCCTCTACACAGCGACTGGATCCCCTGCCAAATCAGATGTGGTGCATGCTGCAGACAGCCACATCCCTGGCCTGTGGGACCAACTTCAGTTCCCTCACTTTTCCTCCTGAAGCTGTCACATCACAAGTGTGGAATTGTCCATGTTTTTGAGTTGACAGTAATGGCAAAGCCTGTGGCTAGTTTTAGTTATGACGGGGTTAAATGTCTGCAAAACCTGCTACATGTTGTAACACCTTCTACGTGCATCAGCCAATTTGAACCTCATAGCAAGGCTAGGAGGTGCATAATGTTAGTCCCACCCTTCAGTAAACAGGTATTCAGAGGAGTAGAGTGACTTGCTTAGTGGCACAGAGGTAGGAAGTGGCCAAAGCAGATTTGAACTGCAACCCACCAACCCTCCTACCCACTTAAACATCTGTGCTCACCTCTTTTTTCCACCATTCATCCCTACACTCACCCTTACATTTGCTCAGCATCCACCCATCCACATACCCACCAATCCACCCCATCATCCATCCACCCATCCATCCGTGTGCCCACCAATCCACCCTGTCATCCACCCATCCACATACACAGTTATGTACCCACTCATCTACTCTTCATTCACCTACCAGCCAGCCAGCCATCCACCCATCCATGTGCCCACCAATCCACCCCATCATCTATCCATCCATCCATCCATCCACATACATAATCATGTACCCACTCATCTACTCTTCATCCACCTACCAGCCAGCCAGCCAGCCATCTATCCATCCATCCTCCATCACTGAGTGTGAGGTACATGAAAGAACTATACAGCTTTTATGATCCCTTCTTCATATGCCCTTAATTCCACACTAACACTTACCTGTGCCTATTCCCACCTTAAAACTGTGCACACACACACTCACATGCACACACATACACCACCTTCTGGTTAGGTGAATAGGATGGGATAGACCAGGGCAGAGATGACTCTTGGTTTGCCTTGTGGAAACCAAAGACTTCTGCCTCGGGGTGGAAGGAGAGGCTCAGTTGGTCATGATGAGGCAGGTGTGTGCAGTGGTGATGTGCCCAAAGCTTGGTTGGGGTCTGAGTATTCTGGAGAGGACAGGGAAGGCATTCCAGGTGAGCAGCTGTGTTGGGCAGCCAATGGAGTCCTGACTTTCTGGACGGTGGGGATCGCCCTTTGCCCTTTGCTGTGTATCATGCTGGACACTCTCTCCGGACTAGCAAGGGTGTACACACCTACGTGTTTCACAAGGACTGTCGCGATCATTAACTGTAATCAGTCTCAGCTGCAGCTTTGATCACTGGCGCATGCACACAATTCATCACAGCAAATTAGGTCCATCTTTGGGACTTCTGGCCTGGGGGTCTGTGAGCAAGGGGGGCTCAAGTAAGTGGGTTCTAGGAGCCATTTTGGGGTTGCTGGGCTATGTTTCCTGAAGGCAACAACTCTCAGTGTCTTTCAGAACAGCTATTTATCAACAGGGGTAGTTTTCTAGAAAAGTCAAAGATGCCAGAAAGTTCCTTTTAATAAAAATTGAGGCGAAAGTAGAAGTGGATCTGATCAAAGTTTTCATACCTCATTTACAAAACCTTAAAAACATTTGGTTAGTTCAGGGACCTGAACATACGTGTTCTGTATAATTAGTGACCGTGTGACCTAGATTTTCCAGCACAGCCCTGATTTTCAAGTAATCTGCCCCAACTATTGGCTATTTGTCCTGATTTTTGGTTTGTAAAACACGATGACTCGATCTAGAGCTGGGTTTGTTCATTGGGCCTTGGGGAATTAATACCAAAAGTTGTAAAGACTTTCAAAGAGTCAGAAGAAATTTAAGGGGGAAAATTTCCTCCCACTTTAGTTTTTCCCAGTATAGCAAAATTCTCACTGGGGGTAGGTATGCCTCGAGTTTGTCTTCCTGCCTCCCTCTTGCAGTATCAGGGGAAACTCAGTCCCTTCCTTGGGGTGCCATCCAGGCCTCTGTGCTTGGGGTGAGAGCCCTCAGGTCCCTTGTGGGTCTGGTCTTCCACAGCCTGCACTGGGAGCCACAGCACTGGTCCCTTGGGCAGCTTGAGCATCACAGAAGAAGCCCCTTGTAGATGCAAAGGATAGCGCCTGGCAGGTAGCATCATGTCCCCTGGATGTTGCAGCTTCCATCCACTCATACCTGTACCCCTTCCAACCCTGGAGCCAGAGACGTGAGGGTGGCCGCCCAGGAATGGCCCTGAGCCTTGGCTATTGGTATAGAATGCAGCTTCTTCTCTTTCCCACCTGTCCTGCTTACCCTGGAGGACCCTGCCCACTTTGTTTTGATTCGTGATGAAATTTCCCATCCTAACTGTTTTTGAGTGTACAGTTCAGGGGCATTCAGTACGTTCATATTGTGCGTCCATTACCGCTGTTTACCTCCAGGACGTCTTCATCTTACCAAGCTGCAGCTCTGACCCTTCAAGTCTTACTCCCCGGTGCTCTCTTCCCAGGCCCCGGGCAGCCAGTGTCCAGCTTCCTGACATTCTCAATTTGACTGTCCTAAGTGCTTCATAGAAGAGCAGTCAGACAGTATTTGTCCTGTGACTGGCTTATTTCAGCTAGCCTACTGTCCTCAAAGGTCTCTTCCATTATTAAGAAAAAGTCTTACATGCCCTGGGGCAGCAGCTGCAGCTTCCTTAACCCGAGGAGCAGAGGGTCTGCTTTGCTCCCTGGCTTGCAGGCTGCCACTCAGAAATAGTGGGCAGGAAGGCTGCTCTGGGGAGGTGCCAGAGGAGGGAGAGTCCTGGGAAAGCCTGGGCAGAGAAGCACTGGGCACTGGGAAGGCAGCTGGGGGCTGGGCGGAAGGGGCTTGGCATTAAGCGACCTGGAAAAGGGTATGGAGGCTGGCCGGCCAGCTCCTGAGCTGGGAGGACCATCTGGCCTGGTCAGGGGTCTGGGTTTACTCTGGTGTGCTTTGGACCCCTGGAGCTTAAGCAGAGACCCTCTGCGGCCCTGCCTCCTTCAGCGATAGTGGCTGGGTTCCTCAGAAGTACTCTGTGTGCTCAGCTTCCCTTTTCTGGAAGGGGGCTTGGGAGGGGCCCCGTGTCTCTGGCACATGGGGGCTGGGGCAGGGCAGCTGCACAGGGTGGGGCTGCCAGATGCAGAGGCAGCAGTAACCATGACGCCCTGACGCACATGAGCCCCAGAACCCCTCCCAGCTCTGTCACTGTAAGGGCCATGTGAGTCTGGGTGTGTGATTGAGTGTCCCTGAGTGTGTACATAGGTGTGGGTGTGACTGTGGGGTGTCCATGAGTGTGTGTGTGTGTGTGTGTGTGTGTGCGTGTGTGTGAGTATACTGTGTATCAGTGAGAATGTGTGTGGGGGCATAGATGTGTGAGTGTGGAATGTCCATGAGTGTGTGTGTGTGACAGTGGGGTATCAGTGTGTATGGAGGATGCGTATGTGATTGTGGGGTATCCATGAGTATGTACGGGTGTATAATTATGTTGTATCGGTGTGTGTGTGTGTGTGTGTGTGTGTGTGTGTTTGTGAGGTATCTGTGTGACTGTGGGGTGGCAGGAGCATGGGGGAGAGTATATGTGTGAGTGTGGGGTACCCGTGAGTGTGTTGGAGGGGGGTATGGTATATCAGTTGTGTGTGATCATATCAGTGAGTGTGTAGGGGGGGTACTGTGTGATTATGCAGTGTCAGCGAGTGTGTGGTAGTGTATGTAATGGAGAGGTGTCCACGAGAGTGTGTAGGTTTGATAGTGGAGTATCAGTCAGTGAGTATATGTGTATGGGTGTGAATGTCGGTATCTAAGAGTTTGGGGGCATTATGGTATATCACTGTGTGTGTAAATATGAGGTACCAGTGTGTGTGTGAGAGATTGAGGGATATCCATAAGAGTGTGTGGGGTATAACCATGGGTTATCAGTGAGTGTGTGTATGTCTGTGTGACTGCACTATCACGTGCACATGTGTGTTGGCATGGAGGAGTCCCGCCTCACACGTTGCTGTCATAAGCACCCCCATAGGCTGACCACATAATACTTAGCTCCCTCCTTCTTCCCCACAGGAGATGGACGGGAGGGCATTCAAGTCCTCTGAAGGCCGGGAGAGTGCGTGGGGGTAATTATGGTAGGTGTGGGGTAGTATGGCTGATGGTGCTGACCTGTCCACTTGGAGAAGGGACAGCCCTGAGACAGCCATCCGGGCTCTGTGTGACCATGGGAAAGCAGGAGGAGGTTGTCTCCCTCACAGGTGCCAGGTGCACCCTGGGAACACACAGCCTTCATGTCCTGCCCTTCATCTTTTTCAGAGCTTTACTGCCCCTTGTCCCCTTCCTTTAGAATGAGGACCCTGAGTAATACTGAGCCCATCTGCCACCTCAGGGCACTTCCCCACCTCCACCCTGTCTAGGAGCCCTGCCTGGGCAGGGTGAGGAGGACGTTGGGGCACCTCGAAGCCCTCAGAGACACCAGAGGCCTCCAGTCAGCTTCAACCCGCAAACTTGTTTTGATTGACATGTGTAGTGCATCAAACACTGGGGGAACTTATTTATTTTGTAGTACTGGGGATTGAACCCAGGGCCTTCATACTGAGCTGCATTCCCAGTACACAAACACACACACACACACACACACACACACACACACACCCTTTATTTTTTGGATTATGAGACAGGGTTGCTACATTGCTGAGTTGCCTAGACCAGGCTTGAACTTGCAATCTTGCCTCAGCTTCCCAGAGTACTAGGATTATAGGCAGTGCCACAATGCCTAAATGGCATTTTCTGCCAAGACTAGACACTGGGCGACAGCTAGCCCACAGGCCTAAGTGGCAGTCATGGCCTGGGGCTTTTAGGCACTGCCCTTTCCACAGAGTTCTGGAGACTGCTGCAGCCCCACAGGGTCTTACTGCCTTGCGCAGGCCTGAGCGGCACTCACAGTCCCAACGGCACCCAGGCCTCCAAGCCTGGTGCAGACACGCAGCTCCAGGTGGTTGGAGGAGTCTTGTGTGCTACAAATGGGACTCCCAGAACCCATCCCGTTTCCCAACACAAACATTTCCTGAGAGTTTGGTGTCACCAACAATAGGCTGCATGGGTCGTTCCAAAGTGGTCCATGCCGTATTATGTGGGACCCATGGTGACAGTGGCAGATCTGCCTCATGGTGGGAAGAGGAATCCCTAGCTTGACCTTGGAACCCAATTTCCTACAGCCCCTCCCACCCCAGTACAGGGGATTGAACCCAGGGACCTTTGCACTGAGCCCTTTTTCTTTTTTTATTTTGAGATACATCTCATGAAGTTGCCCAGGTGGGAGATGAACTTGCAATCCTCCTGCCTCAGCCTCAGTGCTGGAATTACAGGCATGTATCACCACTCCTTTCTAATCCCCACACCTTTTCTTGCTGTTCCACCTCAGACTCACCTCCAGGCTTTGCAGTAGGTAGGCTTGTGTCTTGGTTACTTTTCTCTTGTTGCTGAGACAAATACCCAACGCCCAAAATGAAGGAAGGAAAGGTTTATTTAGCTCACAGTTTGTGGAGGTTTCAGTCCATACTTGGCTGGCTCCGAGGCAGAAGGTAGCAAAGCAACAAGAGCAAAGGGGGGAATGGCAGCCGAACAGCAAACAGCCAGAGCAAACCGGAGGAATGGCAGCAAGCAGCCTCTTTCCCTCCCTTACTTTGTAAACAGACTACCCCCACCTAAGGGGGGTGCAGCTCTCACATAATCTCCATGCCCTCCTCTCCCACAGGCTCAGGATGTATACAAAGTAAGCATTCTGGCTTCCTGCTGAGTCACTTAGCCAAACCTCTAGACTCGGCCAAGTTGACACAATGTATCAACCATAACAGCTTGCTCCTGACCGGGCAGGAATTGTATCCCTAAGAGATCTGACACATGCTCTCTGAGGACAGGCAACCATGCCTTAATCCATATTTGGGATGACTGTTGGCCTGGATCTAAACAGTACCTGGCCGGTGTGATGTGAGGCAACTTCACAGCAACCATGAGGTGGATCGGGTTGGTACAGAGGCTCTGCTCAGGAGGGGGTCTGTGAGCATCCACTGCTGGAACCCTCGAGCCCCAGTCCTCAGTCTGCTAGGTACTCTGTCCCTGAGGGGCCCAGCCACCCGGGACCCCCACATCTCTGGAGAACAGCAAGGGCTGCAGCAGCCAAGTTAGCTCGGGGTTCAGGATCAGGTGCCACTGTTTGGCCTCAGAATGGCAAATCTGCTAGTCTCAGAAGGATTTCATGTCCTCTGCTTGTCACAGCAGCGGTGACTCACTTTCCCTTTTCCCACCCTTCCCCTGACTCTCTGCTTACATATGGACTAAGGGGCCCATTCGCATGCTGAGTTCCCCAACACCCCCAGGGCAGGTGACATTAGTTTCCTTGTTCTGTTGGGTGACTCTGAGTGTGAACCTGTTTATGGGCTGGGCTCCCAATAGAGGCTTCGCTTCCCTCCTGGGGATCCGCTCTCTGGTGGGTTTATATCCAAAGCGCTGCAGGATGGAACTTGCACCCTTAGGAGTTTATCGGACTTTTTTCTTTATTTTCACAACATTTTCTCCCATGTTCTCATATGAGGTAAGATGTTTCCCTGTCATAGAACTGGTTGCCAACCAGGCCACCTGCTTTAGTCTTTTGTGTCCTGGGGACAGGTGAAAGGGGTGCTCTGCTCTCTGCCCTGGGTGCCCTGCATGGGTGGCCCAGCCCCCTCGGAGAAAGTAACCAAAGGAGTCTGCTCAGCTGCTCCTTCTGTGCACCCCCCCCCCCCGCCGACCCGTGACTCTTGGGTCTTTAATCTGCTCCTGCTCGTGAACCTTCCCCCCACGTCCTTGCTCCCCAGAAGCTGGGGTCTCCCTGGAAGCTTCCAGGCTGCCACAGGAGAGCCGGCTTCCCTGGCTGAGCCCTGCGACGCTCACTTGCTGCTGCTCGCAGTGGCAGACGACAGGCTGTCTCACTGTCTGGGAGGCAGAGACTGGAAACTTCACATCATCACACCCAGAGGAGCTGCCATCCGCCCTCCATCTTGCAGGACGCACCGAGCGTTGTCGCAGGCCGGTGGGCCCCTGGCCTCACTCTGATGCCGGAGTGGGGGCGTCACCTCCACACAGGCAAATCTCCGGTGCTGCGCTCAGTGTAGAAGAGGGCTCTGGCCTGCTGAGCGGGGCCCCTGGGGGAGGTAGGGTCTGTCCATGTCACGGCCTGGGCCCTTTGGGAGCAGCTGCGTCACTGGGCAGCATTTAGAGGGAGCCCTGGCCATCACTCACTCCTAATTTTAATGACATGCATTAGCTAAATTGTGTTCTGAGTATTCATTCAGCGCTGTTTACGGCGCGCTCTCGAGTGCGCTTACCGTTTGTCAGAAGTGCAAACTAGCGAACATACGAGCCTTTAAGACAGGCCATCTGTTCGTCTTAGACCCTTGGACGATTGTCAAACGCTTCTAAAAATAAGTGCTCACAAGCAGAGAGGGGCTGCCCAGGTGATACACAGCAGAAAGGGGAGGCAGAGATGTGCACCCTCCCCTGAGGGGAAGACAGCGGAGCACACACTGGGGAGGAAGTGTGCAGAGGGAGGGGAGATGGGAGCAGAGGGAGACAGGAAGCGTGCGCCCTGCTGAGACACCTTTTTGGCTAGAGGCATGAGCTTCTTCCCGTGTCTTGCGTCTCGTGTAACTCCACAGCTCACATACCTTCGATGGCTCCCCATGGCCCAGATTTAAGGGCAAGCTGCCTTGTCTGGCATCATGGAGCCTCATCAATAAGACCCCCACCTCCCTTTCCAGGCTTGTCTCCACAGCACATACCCTGTGCCTCTGCCAAGCTGAATTATTCATTGTTCCCCCAACATATGCTGCACTTTTCACATCTCACAGGCAGAGCGGTGCCCGGCAGAGAGGGGGCTCTGCAGACAGACGGCGTGGGTGCAGCGCCTCACCGCCTTTCCCAGCGGCAGGACCTGAGCCCGTCTGTGCCTCAGTGTTCTCGTCTGTACAATAGGGATGACAGTGTTTAATTCACGGGGTGTCTAGTATGAAGAAGGGGGCCTGGCGCACAGTGAGCCAGCGGTGAACAGGAATTGTGATCATTATCAGTGTATTCACACCTTCTGGCTGTTGTTCTGGTGGATCGTTCTTCCTGGAAAGTCATCTTTGCATGCACACATGCACACACGTGTACGCACCCACACACACCCAGTGCAGCTTCTAGCCCCAGCTGTCCCTGAAGGGTGACTGGGAGGCTGGCTTTTTCCTCAGGCACCTCCAAGCAGAAGTCATCTCTGTGTTCACAGTCCTTCTTGTGAAATCTGCCCCTGCTGCAGCCATAAAGAGCCCCCATCCCGCCCCTGAGAAAGGCCTGTATAAAGCCAGGCTCACAGGAGCCATGTGGCTGGAGCCCATCATGACGTGGCCAGGTAGGGACAGCAGGGAGGGGGTGATCAGCCACAGCATGTGTCCCTCCAGGAGCAGAGGGAGGGGTGGTTGGCCATGGTGGAGGCTGTGTGGGCTCTGGCTGGGAGTCTCTGGGTGGGGAGACTTGGTGCTTCTGTGCCCTTAATCTGCTGTAGGGACTCAGGGGCCAGAGCCAGGGCTGGCTCCCAGGGATGAATTTTGTTCTGCCTCTGGGATCCCATGGGTCTATGAGTCCAGCTACCCCAGCCTTCACGAGAGAGAAGGTGGGGGCTTCTCCACCACTGGATGCCCAGCGCCCACCATAGGGTCTAGCAGATGAGAACTCAGCAAACACCTGTGGAAGGAAGGAAGGAAGGAAGGAAGGAAGGAAGGAAGGAAGGAAAGGGTGTTTACCTCCTCCTTCCCCCAAGGAGTCTCCCTGGGCGCCTTCTTACCTAGTCACTCGTGCCATTCCTCGAGGGGTAAGAATGCAGGGATTGATGGTTCTGGAGGGTCTAGCATGGGGCATGGAGGGTGGTGAGGGCAGGGTCTTAATCAGACGCTAGCTGTCCCGGAAGGGAGGACCACCTGGCATAGCCGTAGCAGCCAGGTGTATGGGCCTGGCGGGTGGACTGTCTGTCCTCCCCGAACCCTGACACGGTCTCAGATATCTGAACTGCCTCTCCTGTGCCCTAGTTACTCTGACAACAGAATGCCTGTGAAGTCCGAGCACCTCTCCTGGTCCTTAGCAAGTGCCCAGGGTGCTGGCCACTGGCAGACACTAGTAAGTCTCTGTGGGCTGAGATGGGCCAAGTCCTGTGCATAGCTTGGATTAGGTTCAAGACTGGGACCATTTTGCTGCTGAATTTCCAGCAACCAGTGCATGGCGGTCTCCCAGCGGGGAGTCAATAAAGATTTGCTGTATGAATGAATGAATGACAGGTAAATGCAAGCTGAGCTTCTTTCCCCTGACAGGCCGAGGGTGACTGAGCCAGCTCCCGAGTCTCAGGGTTCCCACCAAGACCCCAGCTAGGCCTGCCCTGAAGGCTGGCACCATGCAGATTCCTATGCCCACCTGCTTGCCCATCACTAACTAAGGTCCCCTAGTGCCACGCAGTCACCTGAACCAGGCTCTCCCAGAAACCCCATCCAGGAACATGTGCCAGGGCTGCCGAGGGACGGATGGTGGCCAGAACCACTGCCACCCACCCCCTCCCGTTCTCCCGTTTTATTTTCCTCACCTGCTTCTCAGCCCCACACCTGTGTCTCCCTGGCAGGCTGTGAGGCCATGCGGATGCCAGGCCTCCCGTCCAGGCTCTTCCCGGTCCTCGCGTTCTCCGCCTCACCTGGGCTTTATGGTGCTGGGAAGTGTTCATCGGCGGGGTTGGTAGCATCTTTAAGAAACGATTTTCTTCCTTCTCTAAAGGGGCTAAATATAGCGCAGGCATAAACAGAGAAATAGACGCTAAGCCAGATGCCCTTGTGAGAGCCGTGCCGGGTGGAAGGAACTCTTAAGAAGCCTTCATGAAGCGCCCCAGGCCTGAACCTTGCCTCCCAGCCTGGGGAGGCACCTCCGGGTCGGTTGGGGGTTTCTGAGCTGTGCCGATTGGCAGGGCTGGCTGGAGCTGCTCAGCACACACAGGTGTTTGGGTAACAGGGGCGGGTGCAAGGGCGGGTGCCCTCCTTGGCAGAGGTCCTTCCCCCAGGATCCCCTGAGAACATACACACATGCACGCACACAGTGTGGCCATGACACCCTCCCCAGCTGAGCTGCAACCTGTACCATTAATCCACAAACACTTGGGGACCTTCATGTCTCACCGCCTCCTCAGGCCCTCGAGGGAGCCCAGCTGGAGCCTTCTTCTACCCCACGTTGTGCCCAGCCCAGAGCAGGCACTAATAACAGTGCAGAAAAAATTCTAGTGCCTGTTCCACCCAGGGCAGCAAGTTTTGACATTTCCACCTGCCGCGACATCGTGGGCTTTAGTTCCTGTAATAAGACTTCTGGGAAGTTTTTACCCTTCTGTCTCAGACCCTCTTGGAGGAAGTTCTTTCTTGAGTCTAACCTAAGAGTCACGTGTTCTTGCTCCTTAAGTGAGAGGGCGCATTGCCATTTTCACCTGGGAAGTGGTCCTTGTTCTCCCACGCTCCTAACCTAGGTGTGAGTTTCTGCCCCTGGGGTGTCTACACCAGGTGTTCCCAGGTGAGCCAGTGTGGAAGATGTGTGCCATGTGGGCTTGCTCACGGCATCTTGGCGAGGGACTGCTTCGTTATCCTGAGATTCTCCAACGCCTCTCTCCTCATGTTGGTGAGGGGTGGCCCTTGAGGCTTTGAGGAGTTAATGTCCCCTCTGGTTTTCTGGTGTCTGTGGAGCCAAGCCCACCTTGGTAGGCACTCGGGCTCCTCTGTCCACACCGCCCCTAGCCCTCCGTTTGACCTGTGCTGCTGTCGCCCCAGGGCCTGTCAGCACACCTACTGACGCCTGCATGCTGCCGTCTGTGCTGCCCTGTCCACTGGAGGGCTCTTCGCTTTCCACCCAGCTCCACCCTCTGCGCCCGTTATCCTGTCATAGGGTCACTCAAATGCACTGCCTGTGCATTTTGTGCCAGGCCCTAGTTAACATATCCAGAGACCAGGAAGAGATGAGCACGCATCTGAGCTCCTAACTTCCCTTCTTCCTCCTCCACAACCTCCTACGATGAAGCAGGACCTGACCACACACGATGGCAGGGTCTGTGGCTAGTTGTCGACAGGTGGGGAAGTGAGGTCCAGGGGTCCAGGCAGGATGGTGTGTGGCCAGGCCGGCTGCAGCCCAGCAGAGGCTGGTTCTGCCCAGGAGAGGGGCACAGATGTGTGAGCCAGGCTCAGGGGTCCCTCTGGCGTGTGTGTGCTCAGCGAACCCAGAACAGCTTGGTCGGGAGGGAGGAGTGAGGAGGTGGAGCTGAGACAGCGGAGGCGCAGAGCAAGGAGGAATGTCTGTGCACAGTAGGGTCTGCTGTCCCTGAGCACATACAGGAGAGGCACCTTGTCTGGAGGGTGGGGGTTCCCATGGAAACTGCCTGAATCCCATCTATGGCCTCAGACCACCAGTCTTGTGCTCTGGGTCCATGTCACCCCCAAGGGAGGTGCCAGGCCATGCTGGGCTTGTGTCTGGTGTGGGGTGCAGAGGACCCATCGATGGCAATGCCCCTCAGAGTGTAGGACATTGGATTCCAGTGGCCTGTTTCAAGCCCTCTGGCTTCCTAGCTGGCTGACCTGGAGTTGGTAATCTAATCTCCTTTAGCCGCATTGTCCTCGGCTTATGATGTCACAACCTTGTAAGGCTGTTGTGAGGACTGAAAGCCATGGGCCTGCAATGACCCACGGCATCCATGCCTGCCAAGTACCAGCCATGGAGCCCATGGTGGGTCCACAGAAAGACAGCCACACTTGATACTCTGTGCTGTAAGCTTGCAGAGGGGTTGGTGACAGAGACCGGCAGAGTGGCTGCCACAGGGGCCCCGTGCCTGAAAGTGAGCACAGTTCCATCTCAACCCGGGGCCCTGGACCTCCAGAAGAAGCTGTGGGCAGCCTCTGGTGGACCTCACTGCCCGACCCTGAGCCCAGGAGAAAGACTCAGCGTCTCTTCTGCCCCCTGGTGGTCAGAAGCAGATCTGCAGGCCGCTGCTCCCAGTTTGTGAAGAGTCCCTAGGCTACATCGACTGGGGTGTATAGCGGGGAGCATCCTTAAGGAGCTGCACTTGAGATCAGCGATCCTGTGCTGCCCCACGCAGAGCTACTCCGTCCCTGGTGGAGTTTGCTTCCTTTCTGCAGGTGTCATGAGGTGGAGCACCTCCTGAGGCTTTAATGAAATTGGTCTGAGTTTGCAACACGGACCACTTAAAAGAAACAAAAAGACTGGGCTTTCCGAGGCCAAATCCCACCCCCAGCCGCAGGCAGCTGGCTCCTTCGAACGGATCAACACTGCGGCCGGCAGCTCTGGCTGGCAGGAGGGAGGACGCGCCGCGGGCTGCGGTGTGAGGGAAGCGTTTGGCCACAGAGTCCCACCTGGGCCCCAGATCCCCAGACGGTTTCAGCCCAACTGGTCTGCGGCGCTCACGTGACCACACGGGCAGGCTCCCTCCAGCACCCTCCCTGCTGGGTGACTTGTCCCCTGCCTGGGTTGCCCACCGCCTCCGCACGTATGTGCCCACTCGGGTGTTTCTTGGCCGTAGAGCTGTGTGGCACATCTGCTGTCTCCTCCGCTGAGCTCTGAGCAGCTACAGGGAGGACCGAGAGAGGGGTGCTGGGGGCAGCCTGCAGGCAGCCTGATAGTTTCCTCCTTGTCAGGGAGCGAAAGGGAGATGTTTGTCATTCCTGCCACCTCCCCAGCATTTCCTCTTTCCTCTCACCTAGCCCGTCCCTGTGGTAACACCTGAATGGTCTTTAAAAAAAAAAAAAAAACTGTATAGGGAGACCAGGTTGGCAGCAATAGGAACCAATCCCCAAGTCCCGAATCAATGTGGCGTCTTGGCAGCTGCGTCCCTGAGCACTTTCTCCTTGTTGCATTTTGTTTTGTGATAATCGCGATGCTTCTCCGCAGCTCTGGAGCCGGTGCACCGGGTGGGAGGGGCGGGCGTGCTCTCCGTCCCTCTGCCCTCATGCGTGTCTCCTTTCTTCCCTTTGCAGAACCACACCATGAGCCAGCACGCACAGTGAGGGACCGCTCGACAGGACACCTCTCCGCAGAAGGCTTGCCGGAGACGCCGTGGGGAGGGCCATTTGAACATTACATCCAATCAAAGTGTCATTTGCAACCCAGATGTAAAACTCTAATGATTTGGCCATGAGGCGCTGCTATTATAAGCAGCTGGAAATGAATATTAATGGCAGAGATTAAAAGTATTCCATGCTCAGTATTTTTTATTGTCCTGCTACAGCTAGTGTGCTTTTAGAGTTTCCGCCGCAGACTACATTTCTAGTGTTAGAGAAACCTGCTTTTTGAGGCTATTGTCCTTTGTTCCTTCATGTATTATATTGATAGTTTTTAAAAAAAAGGATTAGTGTGGTTTTTTTCTTTGCTTCTTTTTTTTTTCTTGTTTTTCTTTCCCCCCCTTTGGTTAACTACTTTTTAATTGCAATTCTAGGTAATTGTGCATCGTGATGTGATTGCTTGGCTATTGTCTGAATATTTCCTTTTAATTTTTTAATTAAAGACTAATGCTTTGATTGGATTTGCCAGTTCACCGGACAGTGATTAAAACTATGTAATGAATATAATCGGTTTCAGTGCAACTGGATGGTCTGCTTTTAAATGTGACTTAATCTGACTGCAGTAACTAGTTCAGTTCAATAAAGGGAATCCATGCGATTAGCATCCGGTTGCCTGGTTCTCTCCTCCCCAGCCAGGGGCCGCAGCGGGGTGCCTGACAGAAGGTGTGTTCCCAGGCGACTTCCTGTGGGGGTCCCACATGCCCCTGGGGACTGTATACAATAGGCCCCACTTCTTTGGGGACAGAAGCATATGACCTAACATACAGAAACTGGATGAAATGGCAGTGGCCACTGGAGTCAGGGGAAGGAAGCCATAAATAAAATAACATTTTGGTCATCTCATTTCTCTCTATGGGGACACTCAGGCCTGGGCAACACACAGCAGGTAGGACTCATCCATCCTGTTTTCTTGCCTCTCCCTCTTCAGAGGGCTTTCCCAGCTGCTTGGGGGGCGGATGGGCAAGTGGTTAACCCTTACCTTGCCAGGGTGGCACTTAACTTCTAATTTTGGCCAAGGCACAGGGAGACATCAGGGGTGAGGAGCCGATCCTTAGCCCCTTGAGAGTCAGAGCTGGGTGCTCAGTGGAGCCAGGTGGGAGGAGCAGATTCGCAGTTGTGACCTGTGGCCAGGACTCACTCACACTGGACTCGCTCCAGAGGCCCACTGCCTGGCAAGCCCAGAGAGTCGATGTTTCCTTGTGCTTGGCACCCTTGTGCTAGGCTTGCTGCCCCTACTCTGCAGGCCCACTCTGCAGCTGTATTCTCTGGGGTCCTTCCCGTCACCTTCCACACCTCCTTATGTGGATGCTTGGCTGACTCACCAATCAGAGGCCAGAATCTACACAGGGAAACCCTCCCTTGCTAACTTTTCACAAGGGGCAAGGAAATTGGTTATTACCCTCCGCAGAGCGGAAATGAAACAGGCAGGCAGACTGCACCTAATTATAATGTAATACGAAGTCACAGGCATGGAATTTGGAGCAATTACACCCATCACCCAGAAGGCTCCTGGATCAAGGGACTTCTGGTGACCTGCAAGAGTTCCCCTTTCTGCCACCTCAGAGGCCATTCCCACAGTGTTCCCTAGCGTGGAATGGTTGCCCTTAGAATTCAGGGCTCTCACCTTCCGGAAGCTGAAGATAGTGAACTCCAATCTTCAGCCTCCTGGAGAGTGGGCTGCTCTGGGGGAAGACCCGAGGGTCTTCATCAGCAAAGTGTGCCCTGTCAAGGGCTATGATGGGTTAGGCTGCCACACAGCTGGGCCCCCTTGTGGACAGCGCCAAGACCATCCAGGGATCCAGCATGACCCTGGGCTTGCCACTTCCCTCTCTCCAGGCCCTCCCCAGACCCAGATTTATCCCCGAGCCCCATGGAGCCCAGGTGAGCCCTCAGTAAGTACCAATAGAAGATTTGATTTGACGGTTGGTGGCGTAGGGCTAAATTAGTCACTGCCCCCATTAAAAATACAGCGGGGGGTTTAAGAGCTTTTCACGCCGTGTGGGAATCAGCAGCGGAGCCGGCTGCTGCCTTGGGTAAGGAGAGAGGCGGCCTAGGGGACTGGGAGGTAATGAGGTTTACGGCGGTGACAAGGCAGCCAGGGAACCCCTCAGACTCCCCCTCGCTCCAGCCCCATTGTTCTCCGGCTGCCTGGCCCCACCACTTGGCTGAGCCCCTCGTGACTTCGTTGGGGGGCTGGGAGGGGGACATGGAGGCCCTTACTGGGACTCACATCCTTCACCGTCACTGTGGTGACGATGCCCCGTTATAAATCAGTGCTGTGGGGACCTCCACTTCCCTTCCAGGCAAACAACTTGGAGCTGGGATGAGCTGAGCACTGCTCAGCTCCAAGGGGCCTTGGGGGTCGCTGGGAGGTCTGCGTGAGACCATGCCCAGTCCTGAGGACCCAGAACGGTGTGGTTGTCACCATGAAGACAGTGAAGCCAAGCCTCAAACACAGGAGGAGACTCCTTTCAGCCTGGAGGGGGCGATGGAATCAGCCACTAGTAGGTTGGACCTGGCTTTGAGGCGCAGGCAAGGTGACTGGAAGCCTGTGGTCCGTGGCTGCTGCCTTGGGACTTGTGAATTGTCCGTTTTCAGCAGCTCTGTGGGTGGAGGAATTTTGCCTGGGCTGGGAAATGGACCAGGAGCCCTGGGCCAGGGGCCTTGGTCCTTGGGTACCCACTTGGAGTTTTCAGAAGCAGGTGGTAAGAGTTTTGGTCTCATGGAGAAGCTGCCACGGGAAGAATTTTCTAGATCCCCTGGCCAGAGAGAGTGGTGCTTTAAAAACACACTATGTTTAATACTGAACTTCCCATCTGCTTTCCTAATTTGAAGAGTGAGTTCTTTGGCCCTAGACCTGCACCTCCAAGTGTTGAACAAACAGAGCTAAAACTTCAATCCCCTCACCCATCCACTCCATCCATCAGGCGCCCACTGAGCCACACCTATGTCAGGACCTGTGTGAGGTGCTAGGGACAAGAATGAGCAGGTGGCCATGACACCCGTCCTCCTAGAGTTCAGAGTCACATGACAGTCACCTAACAAGCAAGCCAACCAATAAATGCACAGGGACACATGGTCACAGCACTGTGATGGGGAAACTAGAGCTGTGTGATTAGTTGGGGGACCTAGGCATTAGGGTCAGGGGGCATGAAAGATGGCCTTGCTGAGGCAGTGAGGAGTCCAGGAGTATGACAGGAACTAGGCAGACAGAAGCAGTGGGAGGACAGCACAGGAAAGGCAAAGGCCCTGGGTTGGAAATGAGCTGTGGTATCCTTAGAGATCTTTAATCATTCTGCACTTGTGTTTTAGATGGCTTAGTACAAACTCAGAGAAGTTCAAGGCTTGTCCAAAATGACACAGTTCAGGACAGATTTAAGACATTTTGGGTGTCCTACCCATCAGCCTCGGGTGTCTTGACTTTCTTATTGTTTTATTATAACAGTGACGGCACTGGGCTATGGAAGACTGTTGACAGTCTTCCTTTTCCTTAATACAGTAACTGACTTAGTTGAACATCTGTTGCCTTGGACAGAGGCAGGAACTGAATGCGTATCCTGTCTTTCCTAGAAGTTAGATGTGGCCATACTGGTTCTATCAATGAGCTGTAACCAGAAGTGGTCTATGAAAATTCTAAAAATGCTCTTTTAAAAGAAATGAATTAATCTTCCTGGCAGCTGGAAAGAGGATGCAATAGCTGGAGCTCTGGAAATCCATTTGAACTGGATTATCCCATCAATCACCACTTCTGGCTCTCTGGCACCATTCACACTTGTGTTATATATTCCTTGGCATAGGTGGGAACTTGCCTTTGAAGAAGAGAGGTGCTCCAGAAGGACTTGTCTCCCAAGTGCTCGCCACCTGTTGAAGCAAGTTCATCATGGCTCACACAGGCTCACACAGGCTTGCCCACTGAATGACCAGGGACCACACACGCTGCAAGAGAGAAAGCTTGCAGCACTCGCCACACTCTGATTATGTACTGCCCTGTCATGCTGCGTCTCTCTCCAGAGCACCACTTAGCTCAGGTGGCCACGTATCTGTGGTTGTCTCTCCTTCTGTGCCTGCTCTGCTGTCTGCTCGTGCTGGGAGCCTCTTTCTTCCTTGCACACCACACCAAATGCTTCATAATCAAGATGAGCAAGACTTTATTTTTGGTAGTGCTGGGCCTGGCTCGTACCTGCCAGGCAAGTGCTTTACCACTAAACTGCACCTACACCCTTTATTTATTTATTTATTTATAAATTTTGAATCAGGGTCTCCCTGAGTTCCCCAAGCTGGCCTCAAAGTTATGATTGTCCTGCTTCAGTCTCCCAGGTAGCTGAGGTGACAGGTGTACACCACTACTGCCTGCTAAGATTGTTTTTTAAAAAGGTTTTAAAAAATCAAATTGGGAGATTACAGGGTACAGGCTGGCTGGCTGTTTCTTAAAATAAAGTTTTAGTGGACCCGGAGCTGGGATTAAGATGTGCTGAGCGAGGCACGGTAGTGCAAATCTAGCAATAAATCTGCTACTTAATTTGCTATTTTGTTCATCATGGATTTTTTGGCATCAGTTTTGATTTTTCAAAATATTGTATGGAAGTAATATTTTAGGCCCTTTTTTGGCATTTGCTTAAATTTTGTCCCCGAAGACAGTGCCTCATTCACACACATGCACACACACAACCTGTTCATCCCCAAAGCCACTTACTCAGACCTCAGAGGCTGGGTCAAGTGCTGCAATGATAAGAGCTCTGGTAAGACCTGGGGTGTGAGTCTCTCCCTTTATACCTGTCTGTCTCTGGAACTGTGTCATCAGTCAAGAGGCTCAACACAATTTACTTTTCCCTTTTATGGCCATCCTGGATCCTGGGGCTTTTCTTCATCACAGTCATTTAGAAGTCAGGCAGTGAGTAGCCATCACGTGCAATATGGTCAGCAACCAAGCCAGCAGGAAGTGAGAACTTGGGAAAGAGTCTCACAACTGGTTCCTGGGAGTCTGTGCACACACACACACACACACACACACACACACACACACAAAACCACGCAAGTGTATGCATGCGCACGGGTGCAGAACCACTTTACCCACAACTCATTGGCCACTAAGTGCCACATGGTCCCACTCCATCACAGCAGGACCAGGAAGGACAAACCTGCCAGGCCCCTGAGAGAAAAATGATACCGGGCACACTCTGACCACCTGTGCCAAGGGCCAGCAGATGCCTGTGTGCCCACCGCTGGGCAGAACCTCACTCTTAACAAGTGTCAGGGTACCCAGCACCCTGCCCGGGACCTACAGTAGGTGAAGATTTACCAACTGTGGGCAGAAGACCAGGGTGGAAGCTCTAAGTGACTCCGGTACAGGCGCTGGGCAAGGTCAGCTCGGCTGTGAAGTCACCTCTGGGCCTAAACTCAGTGGAGCATGGCAGACAGAGGTTCTGACCCGAGCTCTGCCGCCGTGTGACCGAAACCAAGGCGCTTAATTCCTCTAACCCTCAGTGCTTTGCTGGTAAAAGAGAAGAATAAATACAGTTGTGAAATTGAAAGGAAGAGTGACATGAAATAGCATCTGAGCACTCACTGTGTACCTTCCATTATTTTAAACACCATGTGTTGACT